GAAAAAGGATCAACATGCTCTGAAGTCAGAGCACAAAAACCTTTTTGTAACAAAATATCGATTTCTGCTGTCCCTGTATCCATACATTATTAGCAAACAAAATATCACCATGCTACAAAGTATCGATTTTTTCCCCCACCCCTAGAAGTAAAACTCTTAATGTGAAACATTTGAGGAAGAGAAACTTGAGAAAGTGAACAGGAAGTGAAACGCTGTCTTTTGTGAGTCCATGTTCAAAATTCACCAAACATGCTTTTTTTAAGGTTTTCAAAGTGTTTTGCACTGGAACAGATTTCCTTTAGTGAGGATATTATCCTGATAAGCCTGGAGGGATAATGTCCATATTCACCCGTCGCTCTGCAGAGAGAATAAGTCTAGTAAACAACAGAATAACTCTTTCACAATAAGGAGAGTTGCTAGGTTTTGGCTAAAGTGTGAGTAAACTGAGAGAAACCGCAGCATTCCTCAGTGACGAGGCTATAGTGCGCGAGCCTCGGCTACAGCAGCGACCTGGGAAGAGCTAAAGGTTTCCGAGCAGCTTGGACAGCTCCCTGTGAAACTGCTCACTGCAATGGCTCTGATTTATTGCAGAGAAGAAGAAACTCTAACATGAAAAGCTGAGGAATGGCTATAATATATCATAAACAAATTCATATCTATTTAAATTATCCATAGATATGAAGCAAAGGAACCATTTCCACTTTTTTCTTCTTCTTCTTTTTCTTTGTGCCATAAAGTTGAGGCTGTTTTAAGAAATTACTCTGCGCTTGTCTTAAATCACCCTCGAGCTCAGCACCTGTCGTTAAAAAAAAAAAAAGGTCAAAGAATGATTTCAAAGGCTCAGTCCCAGCTTTGGAGGAGCTTTTCATTTCTTTGTTGCCTGCAGACATAAAGGAGCAGGTATCTAAACCCGGAGGGGAAACAGGCGTGATGAGTGTGGCCAAATGCCAACGTTGTTCTGAAGTCATTTTAAGGGTTTAGTTAAGAGAACTGCTGGGATTAAAGGGAATGAAATATGTGGAATGATGGTAGGACTGCCAAAGTTATCAAAGTTATTGTTTATTGAGATGTTACTTACAACAATGTGCAAAAGTCTTGACTGTTTCA